AGGAGAAGCCACACGATATCATTTTGGGGGGCAAAAAGTATCAAAATAAAAATGCTGCGGCCTCCAATTTGTCTTTTTTTCTGGCTCGAGTCGAAAAAAAAATCAAGGTCTTTTTTTGGACCGCGGATGTCGAATAAGCAAAGTGGTCTGGAAAAAAAAGACATCGTCTGGAAAAAACCAGCGATTAAGACACAGCACAGCGCACGCGAGCTGAACTGTGGGCAGTGCCAGACGAGCTGAGCCTTCTCGAGACGGTCCGCTTTTGTAGAGACTCCGTCAAACATCCAGTTGGTTTGGAGCAGAAAGTGGATCTAACCGAGCTGTCTTCTGCAGAGTTGTCACGCCAAAAACGACAAATGCCACTGTGCAAAACCAGAACCGCATTTCGCGAAATGGAAGGACGGTAAACTTCGGAAAATGCTCTGGAGCCAACAACTGCGCTTATGCATCCAAGACTGCCAAAGGCGGACGCCTCTCCACCGCTACAAGGCGTGACTGCGCAAGCAAAGCCTTGCCGTTGCTCCAAAGTTTGCTTTCTGCATCGCTTTTGCAAGTGAGGATACGGGTTTTCGGATCGAGTCGGTGTGCTCCTTCACAAACTCTGGGGGGACTTCGGTGATGCGGCTTTGCCCAGCTCTCTAGAAGCGTCTGAACTGCAACCCAGCAACTCGGTGTGGTTGAGATGGAGCTGTTTGGAATGCCGGATTGGCTCTTTAGAGCGCTGTCCGCCGGTTGCGCATCGTGCATACTTCCAAGGTATTTTTTGTGCCTAGTAGCCATCTGACAGTGCCCCAGGGACCAGTGGAGGTCTGCGGCTCAGAAAACGGTTCCATTGTGGAGCCTGCATTTTGGTGCTGGCACTTTCCCGTTCCTCATTTTAGAACCGCGCAATTTGGACGCGGAGCGACCATTTCTTCAGCAACATGCAGCCGGAGGACTCCAAAGTGTAGCCAGTTGATTAATGCTTGTCTTGAACAGGTATTGATTTCAAACAACCAAGTTGAAACTTGCTACATCCTTACCAGTGGGCAGACACCTCAAATCCAAGTGTTGATGTGAATTGGAAATGAAATCGAACCTCAATTTCAAGAAGAGATAGCTGCCCTTTAAGAAGGATTTGGACACGTTGGGCCAACTGGATCCCAACGCTATTGAATGTCCTGTTGCCCACAGGCAAAATTGCTGCCACTTCAACCACTGCTACCACTGTTGCTGCTGCTGTGGTTACTCTTGTTTTTACTGCTGCTACTGCTACTCCGCTGCTACTGCTGCTGCTGTTCTGCTTGCAACTTGCCACAACAACTGCTAGCAGATGCCACTATAACTCCATTTTTTCAATTGGACGCTGTGCGAGCGGGCTGAACACGTTGCGGGCGATTGCCGCAAGTGCGCCCACCTGAGAAATGTGACTCTTTTTTGGTTTGAGGAGTCAAAAGAAAGGATCCAGTTGTTGCTGGGCTTTGAGCTTCCCAGCCGATTGATCAACAGCAATTGGCCAGATGGCTATGCTTCGTGCATAGGGCAGCTGCTTTTGTTGTACAAGGGAGATTGGTGCCCGAAAGACGGTCGCATAGTGCCATCATGACTGCACATGTGTCTGCGGTAAAGCATTGAAATCACCGCAAAAGCACAGAGTTTATTTTCATGGCATGATGGCGTCGGCAGCTGTGCAAGAGAGGCATCGGCCTGCTTGTGCAGGAAGAAACGAAAAGAAGAGAGCCGTGTGACAAGGCAGTGACTACGACTGTTACCACAAGTACTACTACTGCTACTACTACTACTACTACTACTACTACTACTACTCCTACTACTACTACTACTGCTAGTACTAGTACTACTAGTACTAGTACTAGCTACGACTACTACTACTACTACTACTACTACTACTTCTACTACTACTGCTACTACTACCATTGTACTACTCGCCGTCACGCTTGATTGTTGTTCTAGATCTGTCATGAGTACTGTTGCTCGTAAGGTTTACGTTTTGGGTTTCTCCTCCTGCTCCTACTCCTTCTCCTTTTCCTGCTATCCTTACTACCACAACTGCTTCTACGATTTTGCAGTGTTTTTCGTTTGGAAAATATTTCGGCATTTCCTCGGACCCGCTCAGGCTTGTTGGGGTTTGTCGAGCCATTCATTGTTTTTGGGTTCACTCGTTTTGGGGTGTTGACGTGTTTCTTTTCGTTGGAACACGGATGTTGGTGTGCGGCTTTCGCCCCACCATCAGGGCATGCATTTAAGCTTGAATGATTGAAAATGCTGCAGCATTGAGGGCTCGCAGAAGGGTTGACTAAGAGTGCCACTGCCTTTTCGTCAAGGCGCGACCCAGCGCCGCACCACACCGTGGATGATATCACTTGAACATTGAATTCTAGAAAGTTTGGACAGTTAACGGTTAATATCGTAAGTGAACATGTAGTCCCACCGAATCTGTCACGGGGTGTGTTTCTGAGCTCCTGTGTTGAAATCTGCCTGACTCTTGTGAGCAGCGCGACACATGTCCATTTCACTTGAAGTGAACGACCGTATGGCGGGACCGCAGAGCCTTTCGCGAAAGCCAATTTTAACGCTACCCTTCACGATGCTGCAAGGTCTGCCGCACTTTTGTTCGTCATCCTTCGATCACTTTTTCGCGGCCGTCAGAATTACATCGTTACAAGCCGAAACTTTTGATGATAGTTGAAACTCATGAAATGTTGTTGCTTCCAAAAGACGAACACCGAACCTGCAGTTTCCGAGCCTTCGCCACAGGCAGTCCCCTTCGACATGGAAGGACATCGGCAGAAGGCAGGGCATTCGGGTGGATCAGAGTGAGTAAAGCTAGAAGTGGAGGATGCTATCGATGTCTGGTTATTTTACGGGTGAGGGGTCCTTTGTTTGAAGTCTTGGACAAGGCTCCAGTTGTGGTGGGCTATGTTTGTTTTGTTGTTTTGTGTCCGTGTGGATCCGGGTAGCCTGCTCATGGCAGCGGCAGCGTCTCATTTTATCAGCTGTGGCAGTCGTTTTGCGGGACGGTCAGACAGCCCCCGAGGCAGCTTTCGGCCTTGGTGCGGCGTCTCCTCGTCAAAGCGGCGAGGGGCAAGAGTGGAGGCACGTGGTGGTGCTGGACAGTTGTAAGGGCAGGAGGCATGTGTGTGGCAGGTAGCACCGTGTCAACGAAAGCCTCGGAACCCTCCGCTCCTCCACAGCCACTCAATAACACCTGAGCCTGTAGTTGTTTTCCAAGTCGAGGCTAGGCTGTGAATTTCCAGGTCTCGGCGCCTCAGCGCACCCGCAGTCGCTTCCGCCATTTCCTCAGTTCGACGATGTGCCTTGCGATGACTCATCGTGTAGGAACCTGGGAAGGAACCCCTCTTTTTAGTGAGGATGATCTCGATCGACCGCAGTTAGAGACGCTTTGTAGCTCCAAGGCTCCTGCACGAGCTCAAGGGCTCAAGGACGCCAGAGCAAAGCTCCTTTGTATACCCAGGCCCCATTATCACCCAAGCCCCGTGTGAAATCCATACAGCTTTGAGCCTGAAGCCTGTTCGGCTCCGGTCTTAGAGTTGGCCCGGGACCGTGGCTTTGCCAAGGAATCGCGCCATTCTAGAAAGAAGGAGGCTTGGGCTGGCTTCAAGCTTGTGCCAAAGCCAAGATCCGAGTCTAAGAAACCTGATCCCTTTGGTGGCGTCCGTTGTCTTTCGGAACACTTACCGAGTCGAAAAATACTGAATACGTCTATGGGTTGAGATCTTCCAGCAACTGACAACTTTTCGAAGTGAACACCGGGCAGCAAGAAGATGCCGTCAATGCTTCTGTAGCATTCCGTACTCAGTTTTTCGTTTTTCCTTCCACTGGGCAGGTCACTCGGCAACCCAAGAGGGAAAGCGAGAAGGGGCAGTGGTGGGTCAGGTGCCAAGCAAACGACTGCAGATTCGCCTGCGGAAGCTCAGATCGTAGTGTAGGAAGTCGGCCTCGGATCGGGCAAGGTGACGACGCGTCAAGCTTCCTGGCGAACAGCTCCAAGTGAAGTGGGCTACAGGCGCGTGGGTGACCCTAGCCTAACAATGACCTTGTTTCATGGCGGTTGTGACAGGATTGACTTGTTTTCACCTGGATGGCACGCCCCATCCCGAGCACTGGCTTGCAAAAGCCTCGCCACGGTTTTGTTGCTGCCGTAGTCCAGTCACTCTCCTTTCTCCTCAGAACATGCCTCAGAACGGAATTTAATTCACAGCGACCAAGGTCCAGGAGGCACCCTGGCCCCAGGAGCCCGTGGAAGGCCGGTGCAGCGGGAGGGCAGTCGTAGGTATATTATCAGGCTAGAGGATACAGGATCAGCAGGAAGGAGATCGCTGGCAGTTGTTTTATTTGAAGACTCTGCGAAACAGCCGCTACAGTCACAGGCTGGCTGCCGGTGGTACCCCGTGGCTTCGTGAAAGCGAGTGAGCTGGCGCCGGCCTGCCCCCTCGGGCTGTTGATTCTTGATGGTCTGATGTAGGCCGAGTAGGTTTGCTGCCGAGGCGCCGGCGGAGGACTTCCTCATGCTTCGGCCATGCAGCTTCGGGGTTGGAGCACATCCCGTACCATATTAATTTGAGTGCCAATTGAACGAAGCGCCAAGTGCCAGGATGAGCCTGCGCTTCTGACGCCTCCTCCCTCGTCCTCACGAGGTCGTCGCGGGGTTGTTCCTTGCGAGCAAAGATAATTTTTGAAGCACGAGGCTCTCCGCTGAGCAACTGCAGCAGCTGTTCTCCGCAGGCCGGGTTTCGGTCTCGGGATTCAGCATCCTCGGTCCCAGGCAGTCCCAGGTAGTGTAAAGGAGGTTACATGGAAGGCCTCCCTGCCCCTGCTAGGACAAGCTCGTCGGGAGCTTGATCTTGTCGAAGAGATTGAATCGGAAGCGGCGAGTTTTTCCGTCCAGCGACACATCAAGGACCAGCCGTCTGCTGCAAGCGCGCGGGCGGCACTGCTAGCTCTGCGAGAGGAGCACGTACGCGAAACGCTCAATAGCGAGGATGTCCGCGCATGTTGCGAGAATCCTGTTGTATTGGCGGTTTGCCTTTGGCTCGGTGCATAAGGTTTGCGGGAAGCCAACATACAGCTCCGAGAGCGAGAGCTTAAGAAAAGGCTCGCAACTTGGGCTGACAGATGTCGAGAGAGAAGGCGGGAAGGTTTTCGCATCTCGGTCAGGCAGGATCTTGACAGCCTGAGCCGTGCCCGTGATCTGACAGCGAAAGAGCACCTGCCCCAAAGTGCGGGCTTTAGCTGGGCAAAGAAGTGGCCTGTGGCAACGCCGAGGTTGACAACGGTCCAGGAAGAGCTGAGTTCAAGTAAGCAGGCCGGTGATTTCTTGCAACTGCAGCACGTCCCCAGGCGTTGAACCCAATGCCGCACCGCAAATCGTGAGGACCTGGAGCATGCGCACGAAGAGCTGCGAGTGCTGCAAAAGAAACTGGAGCTCTGTCGCGAGGTAGCCTTGAAGTTCATGGCTTCAGATATGGTTCTGTTGAGGGATTGCTCATGGTTGTTGACACATGCTTGAATTCTTGGCAGGCTGTCGTGACAGCTGTGAAAAGAGCCTTGGTAGCAGTTTGCAGTGTCATTCCAAGCTCACAGATCGCTGTGCCACGAATATGGTCTATTAGCGGGACGGCAGGCCTGTCATTGAATCAATGGATCTCTGTCTTGAGGCATTGACGCAGTGTACGAGGAGGTGCCTGACGAGGATGGGAAGGACCGGGAATAGGTGTCTCATCGCCTCAAGTGCGCTGCGTAAGTGTTTAGTTGTGCAGGGTTGTGTTTTGCAGGATGCTAACCTCAGCAGGGACGAGGCCGGTCCACTTGTACGTCAGGGTCGTGCTGCCGCTGCGGAGATGGTGCTCAGGCTCAGCAGTTGCGCGGCCACCAGGCTTGTTTTCGGGACTCGTCGACCGCGGCTTTTTTTGACACCTCTGCGGCTCTGCGCAGGCGAAGCAGAAGGCAGCCAATGCTATGGACGCCGACAAGGCACATCCTTCGGGTGTCAGCGGCTGGAGAGCGGTCACAGCATAGTGGCAGGCCATCTCGGAGCTTCTGGCAGTTGTGGGCAATCCAGCAACGATCTTGCCGGATAAGGAGGTGGTCGAGGCCGAGGCATGCGGCCCAGACCTCGAGGGAAGTCCCTATCCCTGCGTGCCAGGAGAAGTACAAGACTTCTGGGGAGAATGCGGATTGCGGAGCCAGCCCGGCTTTAGCCCCTCGGTAGCCCTGCGCAGTGTACCAGACTCCTCAGAGACAGAAGCTCCAGAAACGAGCAGTCTCCTGTATGCTTATTCGCACATCGGAGTCTGGGACCTGTGTGCATGTGCTCAGCTGTAGTTATACTTCACCAAGAGCAGTGGCTAACGAGTTGCTTTCGCACAAATCCGAGGAGAAGCTGCTGGAGATGAAGGTGTGTGTGTGTGTGTGTGTGTTCTCCGTGTGTGGGGTGCATGCTTGTTTGCGGTGTCCAAAGGGGTTACCGATTGCTTTTCACTGCTAGGCTAGAACTCTGAGCTCCGCTCAGCTCTGCAGCAGCGTCTGGAGGTGCGCTGCAGTCCGACCAAACAGCCCGGGGACCAGCGAGCCGCGCCCACAGGAAGAGCACAAGAGCCGTGCCCCATGCTGTCGAAAGCGTTAAAATTTTGATGTCCACTGTGTGCATGTCGCAAGAGGAGGAGAATTTCATGCATGTTTCTTCTGTGCATCATTTGTTGTCCTTCACAAGTTGAGCATGCCAGCTCGGTGACAAGGCGCCGCTGCGAGATCTCAACCGGGCCTAATGGTGCCAGGTGGCTCGTTCACTGCACTGTCCTGGTGTCACCAACAGAGGTTTGTCCGGAAAAAGGATGCCCCTGCATTGTAGGAAGGACTCTTCGCATACCGCACTCCGTCTCCTCGGGTCTTCGCTCGCAAGCGATCGTCAAAACTTTCCCAAGCTCAGTTGGAACTGCTGACTGAGCAGCCTTGTGCTGTAGCTGCAAGGTCTGCAAGGTGCTGAATTCCTTTGCCAAGTTGCACTAATTCGAAATTTATGGCGTCCCGGCAACCTTGCTGGGACGTGCTCGCAAGCCTTCCCCAGCCCAAGTTGAACGTATTCGGAATATCCAAACTCTGAGGCCTCTGAACAGTGTGAAAAGTCTAGCGAGGAAGGTTATGCGGACTAGGACCTCTGATTCGATGTGCCTACGGACAAAGAAACGGCCTTTGGGCTGCGCTTGGAGTGAACATCTCCGCTGGCAGGAGTGGTTATTTACAGTTCGTCCGCCTGCTCCTGGCTTACCAGCAAGGATGCGGTGAGACTTGCCTCCCGCACCCCATCCGTGGGCATCTTCGCCCATCAAACGTGCGATGCTTGTCTCGCTTGCTTTTTGATTTATCTGTCGCTCAGGGCCTAGGGCCTACGATTTTGCAGTTGAGGTAGATGGGCCTCGGGGCGTCTCGACAAGGCCCACTGCTCTTTCTGTGTTGGACTGGAAGCATGTGGTTGGTTGTCAAAATTACGATCCCTTCTTGGGTCCTTTTTAGAATACGGCACCTAATATTAGTTAGGGTACCACAAAAAAAGCCCGTAATTTTGACAACTACCCATGTGTGTGTGTGCAAAGTCTGCAGATTGCAGAAACTGCTGTTCTCGCTCGTCGAGGTTTTGATCATGTCATCATAGACACATGGCCTGTCCTGCTTGCTTCCACTGCACAGATCCTTTCTGCATCAAAATACCCGACTGCAAACATGAACATGATCCTTGCTTTTGTTTCTTTGCAAACGAGCGGAACCAAGGGCCTCTTGCGCTTGTGAGTCTGGGCAGGCCTCCGTGTTCTCAGCACATTTGCAGCATGCCTGCTGACGGCTGACGTTCCCTCAGATGATGGTTTGGGCATAGTTTCAGACAGCAGAAGAAGAGTAGTCTCGAGCTTTGCATTTCTGATTCAGCAGCTTGCGTCAGGAAACACTATCTTTAGGTACAGATCTCGCAGGCCCGTGCTGCACACAGGGATACTCTTGCAAAGAGACCTCGTGCTTGGCAGGGTTGCAGGATGTGAAGCTAGATGTGGACCCAGCTACAGGCCCGGTACGTCACATTCCATCGCGCTTCCCTCTCATCTCGTGGAGCCCAGGATCTGCCTCCTACTCCGTGCCCCTGAAGCGAAGGCGGCAGGCCGGCCAGGCCAGACTTCCCGTTTCGATGTCACGTGATGTCTCAGCCTAAGCCTCCACCACACCAAGCCTGGATGAATGACTCTATCAGCTTGCTTGCCGCAGTCTGTAGCAGGCTTGAACACAGATGCTCAGCTAAACATGTAGCAGCTAGCACTGCGCAGAGCTTTTGTCAACTACCCCCAAAACCACTTCATGCCCTAGTATGTATGAGGCTCTACAGCGCTGCTTAACGCCATTTTCATTTCAAGCACATGCTGTCCAATGCCGACCTAGAGCATCTCCTAGAAAGCGATGGAGCCATCGGCTTGGAGGTGCGCTGGGACACAGCGGCCTGTGAGAGACTGTGCAGAGGCGGTGAGCCAAACACAGAACAGGCTCCCGGCTCCAATCAGGAGGCAGCCAGCAAGGACGCGGACGCAGAGGAGTCCAGGTCCGGGTTGGCCGCGTTTGTGCTGAACCTCTTCCCACTCCAGCACTTGCATGCAGTTGTCGTGGTCCCCGCTATATCTCCTTGGCAGGCGCAATGAGGCGGCCGAGAGTGAGGTGGTCCTTTGCGATGGTGCCGTGAGGAACACTCTGCGCCGAAGAAGGCCGCCGCCCGGTGATTGTCCGAGTGAGACGCCTTCGCTCGTCTGACCACGACGGCAGGGCGGCGTCTCAGGGCTCCCTCCGCATAGGCCTCCGTCCGTTGCAGAAAGCAGTTTTCCGTGTAAGGGTAAAAGGTGGGGAAGTCGTTTGTGGCGGCGGCGGCGGCGAGGCGATGGCTGCACCATTGCATATCGCACCGCTGAGGGGCAGCCTCTGAGCGAAGCCGCCCAGCTGCAGTCACTGGGTTGTCTTGTTGCTGCTAAAGCTACGTTTGGCCAAGGTCGAGGTTGGCGGAGCTACACTGCCATGGGCGCTGGAAATCACTGCCCGCAGACGCCCGGCTTTGGTTCGCAAGCCGGTCACCACAATGCCCGCAGACGATCGTGAGACTTTTTGCCTAAGGAGTCCAAGTCGGCGACGTGGTAGACGTCGAGCCTCGTTTGCCAGATTCTGTACACTTTCACGTCGTCAACTGCACAACACACGGTTTGCCGTTTCACGACGGCAAGGTGGGCATCGGGGAGCATGCCCTTGCTGATGACGAGAATACGCCTTCCGAAGCTAGCGACCTGCAGCGCTGCTGGTCTTTATCAGCTTTTTATCGCTACCATTCCCATTTCGGGCCTAGCCGGTCTGGACAACCTTTCGACTTCGAGCTAGAAGCCTTCAGGCCGTTGGAGATTCGAGATCGCAACCGTGCGGGGCAATCAGCACGACAAGCTCCTCGCCGGAGTTTTCAGGATCTCAGGAGTTCCTAATCTGGCCTGGTAGACCAGCACTCAGCTGCATCATGCCCCAAGCACGGTAAGTTGCTACAAGTGATAGAAAGACCAAGGTTCCGCATGTCGGTGGACGAGCGGATTGACATGGCAAGTCGGTTGCGCGTCCTGCTTGCAACAGCATGAGGCGATTTTTATCCGGCGTTGCACCAGACAGCCCGCGGCTTTGCATCCAAGGTGAGCGTGGCAATGCGATGCTGAAGAGAGGTCTTCCATTCCTGCATGTGTTGAGATTTTTTGTTGACACTTGCTTGTGAGGACGCCTGCAGCGAGCAGCGGACTACTACGAGAGGGGATCATCGCTGATGGATGTCATCGAAGCCGAAGACATAGGAAGCATGGGTGGCATGGGTGGCATGGACGGAATGGGCGGAATGGGCGGCATGGCGGGCATGGGAGGCAGGGCAACCGCATGACCCCGAGACATGGTGCTTGGCCGCCACGGTGGTGGGTGGCAGGCGGCAAGAAGGATGAAAAGGCGGTCGCCAACAACAAGAGGATTCGCGAGTGTCAAAGCCTTACAGCTGAAACAGGACTGGCTTTCTGTCTCCAGAATCTTTAGAGAGGCCAGAAGCCGATTCTTCTGAATTGGGCATTGGTCCTCATGAGGAGGAGCTTTGGCTTTCCGCGTTTTTACACGAGGCGAGACGGTTCTGTCACGACGCCAGGAACTGCTGGCAGGAAGCGGAGCGGAAGTGCGCGGAAGTGATCCTTGACATCGACAGCTCCTGCGTCTGCGTCTTACAGAATGGTTGAATGCAGTGCCAAAACAAAAGAAGCATATGTAACTATGTCGGATAAGTGGCCGCAGGTCAAGGCGCTCTTTCGACGGGGACAGCGGGATTCTCAGGCTGTGGTGGTTCTTGGACCTTCCTGGCGTCCTCGTTCTCGCGATCTCTCGCTCTCTCTCGCTTTCGCTCTTGCTCTCTGTGTCCCCGTGTCGTCGTCTCGTTCTCGCTGGCCTGTCGGCTGGAGGAGTGCAGGCAGGGCTTGCTGTCTCTGAGGTGCCAAGTACAGCTGGGAAACCTGGAAGAGGCCAAGAAGGAGTCAATCTCGAAGTTTCATGTTGCATTCGGTCTGGTCATGTCGTGGAGAGACCGAATACTTTTTTGGTCCTCAGTCAGGATCTCTTGAAGGCACGGGATCTCGACGATTCCATCGCAGCGGACGTTGATAAGGAGTTGGCAAAGCTAAAGCGGCAGCAGAAGGCAGGGCCGCGTGCTGCAGTAATGCACTCGTAGGTTGCTTTAGGTCTTCGTCAGCAGTCCGGATGCTACGAACTCAAACTTGCTTGAGCTGACGGGAACCTACAGCCTGAGGTTCTGGACCGTCAGGATCGTGGGTGGGCACAGAAGGCATTGGAGCAACTCTCCAGAATTGGCAGGTTCTTGTCTTGGGCTGGACCTTCCTTATTTTCACTTAGGAAAGGTCTCGCAGATACACGATCTACAGCGAGCAATGGCCGTGAGAAGCCAGAGGCGTCTCGCCACGCTGGCACTGTCGTAGCTAGAAGCTAGAACAAGAGTACTGGGATCGTACTACATGAGCTACTGGTGCTGTGCTGAAGGAGAACACGGACGATGGCATCCAGTGTAGTGTCAAGGACGCTGCAGCTGTTGTTCATGTGTTTTCCTAGTGTTGAAGCGGAAGAGGCTAAAACATGTTCGGCTGGCGGTTCATAGCAAATCCCTTTCTCAGCGTGGGTCGCCGCAGCAGGGCTCAATTCCGACGTCTAGAGACAGTGCATGATACTTGCAGTGCCGCTTGATCTTCATGCCACCGTGAATTGATGGATCCCTGGAGCCTTGCTACCAAGGGATGGCAGGGGCGGTGCATGGTTTTTGGACTTGCTTTCAGCTTTGCCAGCGCAAAGGGCAACGAAGCATGTTGGCGAGTCGGCTTCTCTTACGACAGCTGCTGCAGTCCGCCACGCCCAGACTGCTTCGACTCGCTGTACACCTACGAGGTTTGCTGTCTGAATGATGGTAGTGATTCTCAATTACCACAAGACTGCCATCGCAAAGAAGACGTGCCAAACCTGCCACGGCAGCTGCAGTGTCGTGGAACCCATTGGGTCACTGCCGATGAATGGGCGGGATTCTTCTGGGCACACCAGCTGTCGCAGGCGCTAGGAACCTCATTTCTTGGTTGGCCAAACATAACTGCACTGCTACAAAAAGCCAATCAAAGCATGCAAGCAAGGCAGGCCAGTGAGGAAGACTGCATATTCGGTTTTGCAGCAGTTATTCTCCACAGCTTGGCAGGAATTGAAAGAGCGGCAGGCAGTGATGCTGCGAGAAAAGCGAGCAGTTATGCACAGCGCCTGCTTCAGCGAGCAAGTGGTCTGGAAGACTGCCGCTGGCTGCAGATGATCAACCATGATATGTTTGATCACTATAACTTGGTGATGGGCTTGGAGGGGCGGTTCCATGGCTGGTGCCCTCCGGATGCTCCACGGGTTTATGTCTACGACATGGGGGACCTGGCGGACAGGCCGATCTCCTGTGCTCGGATTGGCTTCTGGGGCTCGGAGGTCTACATCGACCGCTTCCTCAGACACGCCGGCTGCCGCACCCAGGATGCAGAGGCTGCAGACTTGTGCCCGGCTCGGCATCTAAACGAGAAATGCACAGCACCTATTCTCGAAGTTTGTGTGTTCCGGCGTGTGCAGTGTGCAGTGTCAGGTTCTTCATCCCTCTGTATCTCACCTGCTGGGAGCTGCAGGTTGGTAAGCATCTCACGAAGGAAGCGAAGTTCCTCGGCTCGCATCATTGAATGGCGATTTGATTTGCCACCGGTGAGACTGAGGCTCATGGCACTGGAGGAGATGCATGATCGCATCTCGAGTCTTCCATACTTTCAGAGGCGCCGAAAATCCCCACTGGTGTTCGCATACTCTGGGTGAAAGTATGGAAGGAGGTACACCACGGTAAGCCCGCATCTCTCCAGGAAGGAGGGGCTGGACCACGTGTTTCTCTTCGGCTCCTCCGTGTGGCAGCTGCACAGGCAGGTCTTTGTGTTGTGCCTTTGGCAAGTCTGTGCAGCATCGGTGACTGGGATAACCGCAAGAATGCTTGGCATTCTCGTGCACCAAGAGACTCCTGAAGTGAACGGATCCCTCTTTGGTGCTTTATGGTAGGTGGCGCGATATATTCCCTCGGTCGATCCTGCTTGTCGTGGAATCCGAGCCCATCGAGTGCAACGACATCCCGTGGGACGACAGTCTATGTTTGCGCCTCGAGAGCACGTGTTTTCTTGGTTGCATTTCGACCAAATGGCTCCTGCTGTACTTTTGGCTCCAGCCAGACTTTAGGCCTCCTGTCTCCTGCCTCCATCTCCTGGATCGATGGCAGGTTGCTGCCCCCCAGATTCCTGGCCAGCTTGTCAGAAGCCCGATGACTACAAGCCCAAGGGCACAGAGACAAAGATAGGCGAGCTGCCAGTATACAGCGTGGGCACCGGAGACAAGGCCATCTTGGTACTGCCCGACATCTTCGGCTGGTCGTCCAACCAGGGTAGGCTCATGGGCATCGCGGACACTCTGGCCGATCAGGGGTACCGAGTGCTGCTTTCAGACCCCTTCTACGGAGACTCTGCCGTGGGGAAGGAGGATATCATGGGCTGGATTACACAGTTTCCTTTTGACAAGAAAATTGGTGCCGACATCGAGGCATGCGTAAAGCACCTGCAAGATCAGGGCTGCAGCAGTGTGGGTGCAGTTGGCTTTTGCTGGGGCGTCTGGGCATTTTGCAAGTCTGCCTCCATGGGTGTGCCCCTGAAGTGTTGCTTGCAAGTGAAGTAATCAGCAGATTGTTGATCGAGGATAGTGAAAGTCTTAGATCTCCGATTTGACTTGGAATCCTGTTGGAATCCTGCCAGATCATTCTAGGCTACACATGACGTCGCTGCTGTGATCCGAGGTGGCGTCGGACCTCATCCCAGCACACGGCTGGAAGGGGCATTCGGCGGAGATGAACAGGCCATGATGGACAAGGTCAACATGCCAGTGCTCATCCTTAGCTGGAGTCTGAAGTGGGTCCAGTTCAACTTAAGGGCAGGCCGGTGACATGGAAGGGCTTTTGGACGCTCTCCAAAGGTGCTCATCATGCCAGCTGGCAACGACCCTGAGAACCTCAAGGACTCGCATGGAGAGTCAGCAAAGAACTTGTCTGCGCATGCTACGCCGAAGAGCAGACCGGAGAGCAAGCTTATGGGGCCAGCTTCCGCGACACTGTCTAGTGCTTGCCTTGGCACACGACTTTCAACCTACATCAGTGAATGTAAACGACAGGAGGGCGGTGCGATCGCCGAGTCCCTGGCAAAGAAGGCCCGCCACTTCCGTTCTCTGCACGTCCAACTCATGGGATCTCCACCGTGCTTTCTTTTGGCTGTTGCCAGGGTGGAAAGTCCGTGACATTCCCGGACTGACAGTGCAGCTTACGAAAGTCCAGAAAGAGATGCCTGATGCACGGAGAAGTGAAGACTTCGTGCAGGACATGCAGCACGGCTGGTGCTGCCGTGGCGACCTCGGTCAAGCGGAGGTGAAGCGTGATGTGGAGGCAGCGATGCCGCTCTGCTCGACTTATGCGACACTCACAGTTGCACTGAGCTTCAGCTTGTCTGCCCTGTCCAAGAGCATGGGTCGTTTCGAGGGTCCGGCTAGCAAAGGATCCATTCGTGGAGTAGGCTGTTAGATGAACTTGCTGTCTAACATAAAAAGCGCAGCTTTGCACATGCTGTATGTCCTTGATCCGTTGGGGCTGAAGCTAACCGAGGAAGCACATGGTAGACTTCTTCAAGTCCAACCTCTGAGCCGTCGGCTTGATCTGCGTAGTATGGATCACGGACATGGACTCATGGACTCTTTACTTTTGAGAAAATTTTCACCCAGTCACAGAGCTCTTGGGATGTTGCGAAAAGGCGCTGCAGAGGCCTTGCGTTTCCCTTCGCATCCCTCTGCACTTTTGGACGAGCCGAGGCTGGCACTGCAGGGACTGTTTCCAACCTTGGAAAGACCTGGTGGTGCCCCCGCTGACGCCGCTCACCGGTGCTCGTGGCTTGGCCGGGAATCGGCAAGGAAAGATACCTTTCATTCAATGAAAGCATGCAGACCTGCCTAGGCAGCCTGATGGCCAAGTCCAAGCCCTTCTTTCAGCGCAAGTTCCTCATGACCTGAGCTTAGAACAGTGAGAAGTGAAGCGAGCCGTTTGCTGAACTCTGAACTATGAACCTCGGAATTCGTGTCCTCAGGACTTGGAGAGGCCAGCATGCCGAGTCCGGGCTTCCAGAGGTACGCAAGGCCTACTTGGTCACCAACGAGACGGTGCGCACGGCACTGATCCACAACTTGAGCGTCTCGTCAGAAGGGAGTGCCGGAGGAGCCCAGCAGCCCCGCAAACTTCAAGTGTCAGAGTGTCACATCTGCAGGTCATCTCCCGGATGTGTCGATCGGCTCGCCCGTATCCGGCTATGCGGACCTCATGGGCAACTCTAAGTTCTGCTTATGCCCCAAAGGAGCCTCTTCTCGTGTCTTCTGTCTTCTGGGGCTTTAGACTTTCTCCTCTGGGTGAACTCGGCTGCCCTCTCGTCGAAGGAGCCAGCTCTTACACCTCACGCCTCTTCGAGGCACTCTTTGCCGGCTGCATCCCAGTCATCCTTTCAGACCACTTGCGCCTCCCGGCAGCAGTTCTAGCGGTTAGGAAATGCGGTCCATGTTCCCCGCTGTGCATTCTGCATTCCCGCATGGTTTGATCTGCAGATGAGACAGGTCTACCCTTCGACCACGTCGTGAACTGGTCCGAATTCAGCATTCATTGGCCCATGGAAGAGGCGGCCTGATACTCAGGTTCGTTGGAGAAATCTTCTTGAAGCTGAGTCGGTCTGTGACAAAGCTCCAAGGACCTCAGCCTCTATCGGCACCTCCAAGGCCTCAGCGCAATGAGCTCCATCAAGACAAGTGCTGACACTGCGCCCCGTGGCAGGGCGGCTGGAGCACGATGCTGCCGGGATCATGAACTTGCAGCGCCGAGGGGGCGAGTTGCGCTGCTGGTTCGACTACTTCTCGCAAGAGGAGGCCGGAGGGCGAGGACGACCAGAATCGGCTGCTTTTTGTTTTTCGAGGACCCACAAAAGTGCTCTCCGTATGCTGCGCTGCTGAGCGGCCTCGGCCAGCGGGTTGCCGGGCTCGTGTTTTACGCGGCTTCTCCTTCCGTTTGCGGCCTTGGTTAGAACTGCTGCTGCTTTTTGTGCCTGAGGTGGCGAGCATGCCGCGGCCTCGCCTGGCGGTGAACAGCGAAGCAAAAAAGGGGAAACACAAAACTCGGGCTGCACCTTCTCTAGGCCGACACATGCTGAAGCGTCAGAGTCGAGTGGCCATTAGTCAGGAGAGCTCCAAAGCGAGACTCATGCCTTCCACCAGCGCCGCGGCAGGCCCCGCAGGGTTGAGATCCGAGGGTTGAGAGCCGCTGCCGATGGAGTTTGGGCTGAACCAGAGGCACTCTTCGGTCAAGACTAGGCAAGACGTCGATGAGGCTTGCAGAGGATGTGTCCAAATCCTTCTCTGCCACTCAAGTTGATCACCTTCAGTAGCTTTTCAGATCTCTGGCCACACTCCAAGCTCAGCACTGGTGAGCAATATCAATATCAATATATATATGTATATGTATATATATATATATGTTATACATGTATATATATATATATACACATACATACATGTATATATATATATATGTCTATATATATATATATATACATACATACTATCTCATAAACCCAAAACACCGCACTAGTAGGCCTAGGCTTGTCACCAGACCAGGTGCATCTCTCGTTGAGCCTCTTCTGCAAATTCGAAGCATATACAAGTGCTTTCGCTGAATTTGGTCCCGCGATTCCAAGGACGTACTTTCCGCTCAGGAAGACGCTGCTCGGAAGGACCGACACCGGTTGTCGTCGAGCGCGGTGCTTCTTGCACCATACGCCTAGGCTCATAGAGTCCTTTCCCTTCCTTGTCAGGATGGCGTAGATGAGGACACCTACTGCCGGCAAAGAGAGGCCTCAAGTTCACCAGCCCGTGGCACATTGAGATAGGCAGTGTGCTTGCCCATGGTGGATGTTTCTGCCAGGCCATCTACAACCAGTTCTTGAAGGGTAACAGGCCGACGATATTGGATGTCGAGGATTGAGTCATGTGAGGGATGCAGGGTTGGAGCATCTTTGCTCGGGCTGACATGCCGCGGCGGAGAGCTGTCAAGTCTGCAAGCTGGAGAGTGTACGTGCAAGATGCTCAGCTGTCCTGGCGGGCCTGCAGGCTTTCCGCAGAGCACATCCGACACGTCGTAAGGCCCCAGTCTGAGTCTGAGTCTCTTGACGGGAGGCCGCCTGATGCCGACTGAGCTTCACCAGCTCTTGGCGCTCTGCGGCGCTGTTGGTCCGCTGTTACACAAACCCTGCATGAATCGTTTCGAAAAGGCGTTGCGCAAAATTGGCTGTCCTTCAGCTTCGGCAATTTGAAGCTCCACGTTCCGCATCCTGTGAGCCTTGCGGGCTCTGATCAGGCCATCAGCTTCTCGCAGCAGAGAAGCCTTCGCAGCAGCGCGAGGAAAGTCTGTCAGTGATTCTGCGAATCGGTTCCGATGTCTGCGTGTGCTCCCGGAGCTCAGTACTGTTGAAGGCTGCAGAAGCGAGTGGCCACGGCGAAGAGGGAGGACACTCGTTCCTCCGTGGCTCGGCCAGCAGATTGCGACTCCACATTTCTGCAGAACTACTCCGCAACTGTCGCACGATTGCATTGCTAATCACTTGTTTTGCATTAGTGATTGCATTTGCCTTTTGATTTATCATGATGTTTTGATGCAATGCATGTTTGCACTTCGCGAATGTTGCAGAACGGCCGTTAACGGATTTCGCATGGTTTGGGGTTAACAGAAATCCGTGAATGCGTTACACGTTTTAGAGTCGGCGGCTTGAGAGACTGCGCCGCCCAGGGTTCCCAAGCCAGCGAGTACTACGGCATCCTGCGAGTCGGGACCCGTCCGCGGTCTATCGCGTGGAGGGACCAGCGCCGAGATACCCTGATCGCAGGACGCCACCTCAAGAGTTCGAGGTTGTGTTCGACACAGGCCAGCTTAGCATCTTGTAAAGGACAGAGCACAGTCAAGCGGTCGAGCAGAAGGCAGCGGCAACTTGATCATACCGTCAACTGCCTGCGGCAGTGATGCACAGCACTCGGTGCCAAGACGAAGTGTTCAGCCCTAACCCCGGCCGTGCCCCGTTTCCGTCATAGAAACCTTGAGTTTGCAGGCATGTGTGGATGCCTTGGATTCATCGACACCTTCTGTAGAGTGTTGTCGGCGCACACTATCTTCAGGCATGCCGGATGCACCGGCGATTCAACAGCACCGCATCGCGCCCGTGGACCCGGAATGAGCGTTTCTTCAGATATCTTCAAATCTTTGAGAGCTTCTGGCTTTGAATTCTTCATGAATTGTCTTAGCCGAACGGTTTTGTTTTTTCTCAGGGCTCCGGGGCACAGCACGAGGTTCCTCGATACCCGATGCCGATGGTGGCTAGGAGAGATGCCTTTAAACCGGAACGCGATTGTCAAGGTCGCAATCGGCAGTGCCGAGTGGAACTTCTGACAGTAGAAAAACTGAAAACTGAAGATGCAAACTGATGCTCTGGAAGCCGGCATGCCGGCGAGCACCCGCCCAGGCACGGCAGTCGATGTGGCATTTGCCCGGCACGAAGTGCAAGCGTGTCTGGACTTTGGATGTGATCAGCATAGGCTGCTGAGATGTCATGCGAAGTAGACACGTGGGAGATCGTGGGAGTTACGCATGAACAGCCCTCTGCCTTGGAATCTGCCCTGATGGTTGAGTGAGGCTGGAATAGCTACAAGTATGTGCAGCTAAACTTCCCTAAGGCAGAGAATCCTGATGATCAGGCCCCTTCCGCAACAAGTTTTCACATGTGTTGGTGACAGTCAGAGAGGCATTAGTGCATGACTTGTTTGCGGCTTAAACCCTGCGCGGACTCTGCTCGGTAGCCATTCGGGTAGAGTATGACGACCAACATGCAGAATGAATTAAAGAAGCTGGTGTCGAGCCATGATCCACACGACACGCCCTGGGATTACACCGCCTCCCCACAGCATGACTTGAACTCTTCTAGAGCGCCACACCCCCGAAGCCTGCGCCCCCGCACTCGAGCCCCCTAGACGACTTGCAAGTGAAAGTCGATTTTTATTTAGACCGCGAAGCAGCCGGACGCCATGAAGGGCCGGGGCCACATCAGAATCAGTCAGCTCTAGATGAATTTCCTGTCGAGCATTTTTTCAGTCTCTCCTGCCGCCAGGCCCGTGGGCCCAGAGCGGCAAGGGCTACATGGGCTCCATGGGCAAAGGCCCGCCCCAAGATGCAATGAACCCGCCCGATGCGCAAGCAGATGCCACATCAGGTTACGGCCCCGGCTATGGCGGTTACGGCGCGGGCTATGGCGGTGGCGCCGGCGGTTATGGAGCTGATGGTGGCAGTTCCGTGTTCACCCAGCCTGGCTACGGTGCTGGTGGCGGCTACGGTGGTGATGTTTATGGGGGCTATGGTGGCTATGGCCCGGCCGCGCAGCAAAGTGAAAGGCTGGATGGTGTGGTTTGCATGGCAAGCGGCTGAGAACATGTTCTTGACAGAATAATTGCTGGTGTTGTTCAGATATGGTCCGTACTCGACTGGTGGTCTGCGCCCTACTTGCAAACGTCACGCAAACTTACCGAGGTGGCTTGTTTCGCGTTGTTTGCGCGTTCGCATGAATGCCGAGGAGCATCAGGGCCTTCCTGGCAGGCCACCGGTAACTGTAATCAGCCTAATTCGCAGGTTGACAGTCCGTGCAGGATGGAGCTGGGCATGTGGAAACAGAGAAAGATAGGTCCTGGCCTAAGCGTCTTCAGCGTCGCGGCGAAGCTCTGGCTTCTGATCGTGCTTGATTCGCGGCCTTGTTTGATCCAAGGTTAGTTCGCTCGATCAAAGATATCCAGCGTGTGTCGCTCAACTGCTCAGCTGCCGGCGACTACGGGTCCAAAACCGTTGGTCCTGTAGCTTCTGGCTGACCAGGGCATGGGCAGAAGGTTCCAGCCTGCATCCGGATAAGGCAGCGACCCCGCGGGCAAGGAGCAGTGGGAGCGGCAGTCGCCCCAGTCATCAGCTGCATCTATCTCTCAAGCACCAGAAGCTGGAAGTAGAGACTCTGCATTGACGTGTTTTTCTCAAGCTGGAGGTTTGCGGATGCTACACGGATGGGCAGCAGAGATCCCAGTGCTGCGCTCAGCAAAGTTTGCAGATGGGCGGTGGGAAGCGGAGAGTTTCGGCTGGAAGTCCCGAGGCCGTCACCCCGAGGACCATTTGAGGACATTTCTCGAGGCAAGGCAAGCCGGCCAGGCGGGCCATGCCAGGGCGAGTCGAGCTCTAAAAGCCGTGTCTAGCAGATTCTGGCAGGCTAGCATGGAAGGTGTAGAAGGAAGCAGGTCACAAAATGGGGGTCAGCATGAGGTCGAATGCCAAGCGCAACAGACATCAGCATACTTGAGCTGCGGAGGCACCGGAGCAAGTAGTGTCTCAGCTGGGAAGCACCCGCTTCCTTCGTCTACGAGGCGGGTTCTTGGCATATCAAGGTTCCCTATCCGTTTGCTATCGATGAACGTGGAGCCAGGTCGCAGTGTTGTAGCAATTCTGAGGGGCCATCCCCAGAGGGAGATTGGAAAGACGAGTGGCCGTGTGCCCTCTCTCACACTGTCCACAGCGCAAGCTGTACCGTTTGTAAGCCTCAGATTCGCACAGCCCACTGACAACAAACCAACAATGTATCCATTGAGAAAAATGGCCAGGTGTGCCATTTCAGGCCGAGCTCCATGAGGCCACAGTTCTGTCGGTTTAGGCAGCTTTAGATGCCACTACCCAGGCCGAGGTGCTTCGGGCTGGGTTGGGGTTCCGCTCCGCAAGTTCTGGAAGCCGGGGTATGGCAAAGTGCTCTATGAAGCGGTTTGCCCGGTCTCAGGTGGTGGACTTCTTGTCTATGTACAGCATCCCTCAGGAAAATGTCGTCAGTGCCTCAGATAATCGCCGTTTCCTTCATGGCAGCGCTTGAGATGCAAGGCACGGGAGGGAACCGGGAACACCCAGCAACTTGACAGGTTTTCGGACGTCGTCCCGATGGTCGCATCACTGGCGAGGCCGTGGCTCTTGAAAGAGTCTGTGTCTGCCGCCCTGCGCGATGCGTGCGCAATCTGCAGTCGTCTGCTGGAAGCTGTAGGCCTACGTGATGTTCCGCAGCAGGGAGGAGGCGGAGACCGCGTTGAACTCTCTGCAGAACGGGGAGATCCAGGGCCGCTACATCGAGCTCTTCCGCTCCACGGAGGCACACATGTAAAAGCCACTGAAGGAAGGAAGGGAAAGGGGAAATTTGGGGAGTTTTGCGTTTTTTCACAGCTTCGCAGGAGGACTTCCAGCGAATGTCTGGACGGGGCCTCAGTTTCTCTTGTGGCCAGTTGCTCAAGCTTCAACTACCGAAGCCGTTGCTCCTTGTTGATCAATGTTTTGAGATGGGGAGAGTGGCTTTCGGGGTCCAGCTTGTTCAAGTCGACAGGGTGGGCGGTGTTATGTGACGCTGGGCTGCTAGCAGTGGTGTTCGGGTCGCAGCCACGATAATAACTCGACTACTGCCGCAGGTAAGGGGCTGCTTCAACCACCGCCGCAATCTTCTCCTCGCTGTGTGTGCTATCTGAGTTTCATTTTCAGTCCCGCGAAGGCTGAAACAGCCCCAGACGGTCCGAGAAAGCAAACTCCAGATCATACAAAAGGCAACAACAAACAGTAGAAACAGCGGCAACAGCCAGAGCAAAAGCCACAACAAGAGTCTGTGGCTGGCTAGTTTTCTTCCAATCACCTAGTCACTTTAACTTTGCTGCATCTTGCCGGAAGAGCCTGCAGGCCTAAAAGCCGCTGCACCAGCCGCTGCCGACATGGGCAAGGCAGGTCTCTGGACAGATATCGCAGTAGGGTCTTTCCTAGTATTGGTCGATAACAGCCCAAAGATGGGCATGGAGGATTATTTGGTGATGAAAATCAAGCAGATCCAGCGCAGCGGGCAGGAAGCAAAGGACCGCCCAGTGTGAGCTCCTCGAAGGTCTAGGTAGTCGTCAGCGCTTGCCAGGATGCCTGGTACCGGTACTGCGAGAGCACACGTACCGGCAATCACGATCCTGCAAGACACACCCCAGAGCCTTGATCCCGGTTTCATCGGGCTGTGAGGGGGTTGTGAGAGCCTGCGACTGCACTCCAGGTCCCTGAAAGCTTTCATCGAGGTAGCGGTCTTACTCTGCGGAGGGAGCTTAGCTTCCAGTGCTCGGACGAAGGCGTACGAGAGCGGGGTAGCCCCCGAGCAAGCCGCGCAGAAGGTCGGTACGGGTCTCAGAGTCTGAGGTCGCCGTGAAGCTTCCCGTGTATAATTCGCCGACCTGCCGAGTCCAACTCTCGCATGTTCTGCGACTCAGAGGGGCGCAGATCTTAGAATCTCTGTCGAACCGACCTTGTTCCGATATGTGTTTGAGCGACAGGAGCCTTGCATGGCCTTCGAAACACGTTGCTGGTCTTTCTATAAGGTCCCCTTCCAGGCAAACGTGGATCATGTAGTCCATTTTTTATCCAACTTCGGCATCGACAAGTCTGTCTCTCAGTGTTTCCCATCATGCGGTACAGGGGGTGAGCGCTCGAGTGAAGATTTCTGTAGAGCCGATAAAGGTCACGTGTGACGATGGCACAAGGTGTCGGTGGCTGGATCCTGAAGGATTTCTGGGCTGCTGCACATAGACTTGTCTACAGCTGTCTGTCACCAAGGCCGTCCAACAGGAGAGGCTTATGTGCAGTTTGGAAGTGGCAGCCTCGGTTGGTAGGTGTAGACTCAGTGTAGACTCTGTGTGAGTGACGAACACAATGTCGACTCGAGACTAGAGGGTCCTGGTGAGCGGACATGTGGTCACGCCGTGCTTCAGCTAGTTGAAGCAGAATCCAACCAGTCGCGACGGCGACAGTTGCAGGATCACGGGTTCATGGGCCACGACTCGCTAGTTGGGCAAGCGTTTGAAAGGCAGAGGGCATTGGGTCGGGGACATGCGGTCCCCTGATTGCGAGGAGCAGGCTTCAGCACAGGGAAGGGTCGGAAATAGCCACGGCGTAGACATCGGAAAAGCCGTGCAACCGAAATTCCATTCGGCGCGAGGACACGAGATCCAGCATAAGGAGGCTGTTGTCTTTATCTGCATTTTCACTGTGGCCTGGATGCCGGCCTAATCCCGAATTGATGGATCCCTCGACCAATCTCGGGGACAAGGCCGCTCTCTCCGTGCTGATGCGGTTGGGTGTTGGAGCTCTGTTTCCCTACGTTTGCTAACGCGGTTGTAGTTGCATGTGGGATGCCTGAAGCCTGCCGGTGTGCGTCGATGTGATGACGCTTGGAGCCAGCCTTGCCAGCTCCCTTTCCCTTCCTGTCTCCGCTTAGCTTTCGTCGTCCCGCCTCACCACTGAAGTCCCACTGAGGTGTGGAAGAAGCCGAGTCGGCCCTTGCAACGAAGCAACGTCAGGCCACTTGAGGGTGGGCTTTGAGAGGGCATGTTTTCCAAGCGAGGTTCAACGAGTTCAATGTAGGGTGCCAGCCACGATGCACGATGCAGTTTTGCAGATGCTTGCACAGATGTTTGCAGTGTGAAAGTGCGACTCATTCGGGCTGGTCCCTGCCCAAGCCAGAGAAGTCGCTTCAGGAGATCCTCGGCCGTTACATTGAGCTGTTCCGGCTGGATGCCTTGATGGAGAAGTCATGTGTGCAGTAGTGAGGCTGAGAGCCACTGGGAGTCATCACGGGTCCCGCTTGTCACCTTGAGGGCGCTGCGTGATTTCCGAG